AGCTGTACATAGAAAAAGGGTACAGACTATTCGCGACCCATGCCTATCATATTGGAGTCATATTCGCTTGGGGAATGCCCTCTTTTTTATTTTTTTTATTTTCAATTAAACTTAAGTAAAATCAGTCAGGATTCTACTTCGTCAAAATTATCTCCCCATTACGCCAGTTCATTTTTACAATTGTAAAAATGGAAGCCATTGTAGAGATGACGCGATGCCAATTTAGCTCTTGAAAACCGATAAATTTATCCTCATAGCACCATTACGATCCTTATATGCCAGATGTATTTTAAAAGACAAATGTATCTATTAGCTGATGAGCATCAGTTAATGTACTTGTCTGCGTTTAGTCAACTTAAAACTATTGTCTGATCGGTTGTCAGGTGAAATTTTCGAAAATTCATAAACATTCCAAAAAATTCTAATTCAATATTTCGTGGAAGGGCAGACTAAAAATTTTCAGTGGTTGAAGACTATAAACCCTAAATATCACACACAAAAAATGAAGTTTTTTCGAAGATATGCATTTTTAAGATCCAACTTAAAAGACTGTCGTCAAGTACTTTTAGTAAAAATTTGCTATTCGAACACACCTTCTCTGTTTTTGTGATTCATTAGAAAGGTATTTCACTTGACCCATATATTTAATTTTTTAGTACTGTCAATTTTCGATGTTAAAAAGTTAACCTGTAGCCTTGACTTATAAAAATGATAGAATCTGAAGCGAGATGATGTATCAAATACTTTTGCTTTTTACGTTTTCAAGACAAAATATTCAACTCAAACACGCCCTACCATAAAAAGGTGCACTCCATTTTCTCTTTTCGGTGCAATTGTTACCCTTTTTTGGGAATTTTTTCTTGAGTCACATAATGGAAGGGCAGAAACGAAAATTAGGGAACAAATAGATTGATATGTTCTCCGTCCGTGATATTTTTTTTTTAGAAATCGGAGGTTATGCATTTTTCAGATCCAACTGAATAGACACCCATGTCATCGACTTGATATCTAATTGTTCTGCTTAATTATGTAATAGATAAATTGAAAACTTATGCTAATGGTGTTTTTATGATAAAATACTTCGTAATTTAGCCGAAAACAGTCATTTTATTTGTTTCTATTAACTTTTAAAATTTTTGTTACTATAGTAAACATTAAGTAAGCATTTATCGCCTTCTCTAACAAAGAGCTTCGATTCTTTTGTTCTATTTCAACTGGGTTTCCGCCTGAAATGTCATAATTTCTCCAGTACTTTTACTTATTTCCCCCCTTTTTAACGTATTCTTACTGTTTTCATTTGAATTAACAATAAGAGTATTGTATGACCGATGCCCCTGAATTCCAATTTTGAATAAATTCCAAAAATGAAATTAAAAAGGAGGGCCCAATCCTCTAAGCGCCTGTGATTGGAGATCTTGTAGAATTCGGGAATTATGAGAAAGCACCTCAAAGAAGGGAATAACATTTTCTTAAAATTCAATTAGTTTTACAATTTGAAAACATTATTAATTTTCATGAAAACATTCTGGAATACATTTGTCTTACTAATGTATCAGAAGCTGTTCTGGTAATTTTTAACATTTGACATTGTTTTCATTCTATCAGTTTTATGCGTGAAACAGATTATAACGACATTCATCTTTAACATGTTAACGATAAGATTTGCATCATCAGTAATGGTTGCGGTAATCTGGGTGACTGTTTAAAAACAGGAGAACTATTTTCAACTTTCGTGTTCAACATTACTTTTTTATCATATATAGGTAAACTATTGTAAATAAAATACACAATCAAGAATTTTGAAACGCACTTGGTTATTGTCATATATGTGTATACATGTTTATATGAAATTTAATTGCGTGGTAGCCCTTTTAATCGCCCTTTATGTGATTGTGGACTGTATGTCGGTCATGCGAGTGTCCAGAAGGGAGAAATACAAACTTTATTACAATCTATTATTACTGTTTTTTGTGCATTGTTTTTAACAATTATAGTACATCATATCGATGCACCTCACTTAACTGCCATTTTATTGGCGACTAATTATTTATTAGCTACTGATCTGCAGGTCAATAACCGAGTGTCTTGGGTTGTCGAGTTCAACTGTAGAACGTATATGTTTACAGTGTTTATTGTTTGCAGTTGCTTTTCGAAAATTTTGTACTTGTGACAGTTTTATGAAATTATTATATAAGAATTGTGTGCTTTGGTTGTACTTTTCTATAATATTCATCGATTTTGGGCGATCCCTAGACTTCATTCGATTTTATATAATTACATATCTTTTCAAGACACTTTATGAATGTATAAATTGAACTACATAAGTGAATGACAAAAGTGTCATTTTTCGTTCAATCACAGACCGTGACTCCTTAACATAAATGAAAATCGTCAAAAACTTGACTCGAATTTTGATGATATAACAACACAAAATTATCAAAACTTGATAAAGGATACACAATATCTATCTGCTGTATATGCATGCCTATTTTAATAACTAAAATCTTCCTTTAGAAAACCGGGTTGTGAAAAGAGATTGGCTGTAGTTTGCTTAACCTCCAGAGGAAAATATTTCATGCATATTCATGACGAGGGAAAAATAACAATCAAAACAAAAGGTAGGGTCTGCAATAGGCGGTCGACCGGGATAAAGGGCGAGAAATTTGGAATGCCACTGGAAATAAGGATATATTGGGTAGGACAGAAATTTGGCCTTACAACAAGACCCCTCAAAAGTTGTTGCAAGGGTTCTTAACGTGCAGAGAGCGTGGCATTCTCTCTACACGAAACATCGGATTAAACGTCCCCAATATGACCGGGCGTGACTGCGAATTTATGCGTCTCGCACAGCAAAAAGGACTTGATTTCACAAGCGTTTTACTGCCGATCGTGGGAAGACCAAGGGATGACCATATTTCTATACACCAGTCAAAAAGAAAAATAATAAGAGACGCACCTACATATCATTATGAGACAGACTTTAAACAAGAACTTCTCAATTAAAATGAAAATAACTGGGATTTATAGTAACTTTACTTCTGATTCGCTACATAGATGAATAACTCAGCGTTCGTCGACTTAAGTTATTTAAATCTATATCAATGAACCTGAAATAACGATACCACAGGTACAGTAAAGCCTGTATAACATTCAAAGTTGACAACAAGGGTCGGTTGACATCTAAAACTTTACAAATAAACGAAGATTTCGATTTTTTCATTGTGAACGTTCCATTTCAGTGAAGCGACATTCCAGCTGTGCCTGCACATTGAATATATGTACGATATGATACGATAGTATAGGGCTTACGTATCCTTTCTTATTTTCTTGATAGAGGGTTGCTGCTTGCAATGACGCTGTTTTACCAAGGGTTTCGAATGGTAAAGTTGGATGCACCCCAATGACGGTTTTACAGACACTTTTCCTCGTTTTAATGGGTTCGTGTTCTAAACAAACTTATATTAAAGTGCGATCTTTGTTGGCTTTCGTAAGGGCGGGGAAACATGATAAATTAATGTAGGATTTTTGAATTTTGGATTTTGAATTGTGAATTTTGAATTTTGAATTTTGAATGATCCTTCTCGGCTTTCGTACAATCCTTTGAGCGTTCCTAGTGAAGGTAAATCCAGAAAAGCGCATTGGATGCATGAAATTTATAACGTGTTGTTTTCATTTTATACAGGACTGGGTCGATACCTCTGCTGGTGGACTATCAGTCCCCGAGGGTATCATCAGTTCAGTAGTCAATTCTTCGGTAATGCATATATAATTTTGACTGCAATAACAACTACATGTATGTGACACAAGACAAAGAGGTGCCTAGCTTATATCTATCATAAATGGAACCTTAAAGATCAAGAGGTCACTAAATTTGAGTCAATTATAGCTTGATATCAGTATTGAAGAGATGCATTACAATATACAATATATTATATTATATATATAGACCATACTTTATAAAAAAATTCACCCTTTAGATCCAAGAAATTCCGGAAACGGGTCTCGAGTAACCAAAGACTAATTACAATTATTATAAATTTCAGCATATATTGTATAGAATCCTTAATTTATTTCTTATTTTCTTAAAAGCTTCACATTTCGTCATTTCATATCTAATAACCTTGTTGATGATTTTTTTTTTTCAGAGAGACAGAGATTTAAACTAATATTTTTTTTTAATTTCTATATTTTACTGTTCAGTCTCGCAACATATAATAATGACTTGCAATTTTGAGATATAAAAGCTCTAGTTTTAATGACGTTCTTTGTTCTTACGAAATGTTCACCAAGCATATATAAATATATCCGTTTAAAGGTAGATTCTTTATAATACTATTGATAATCATATTTACAATCGATTGGAACTTGTAGGTAAACACACAAACGGGTGAGTGTAATATTATAAACGACGTTACATGTATATTTATATGTATATTTATACATGTATTAACACTCACGGTAGATAATTTTTGATTGTTTATTTACTTGTTTTGTTTTAACTTTTTAATGATTAATAACAATAATTTGAATCTGATATGAATATATGTAATGTTCACGTTAGACAACATGTTAGACAAGGAAAAAAATCTGTCGTTTGAAGTACTCATTCATTTCAAAACGCTATTATACGCTAGAAGTGTAGGAAGGGCGCCTCTTTTTTTATATATATTTTTGTTGAAAATGGAAGTAAAATACAAATGGAATTATATCTAACCTATTCTCGGTCAATATTCATTTTCATTTTTTACCTGGTGCGCATGTGTATTGCGTATATTTATACCTGGTTTATAAAGACTTCAAAGGCAATTTCCGTGTTGTCCAATATATAATTTCCCCGACACGGATTGTTCAACAAAGACTATTTTTATGTTATTTATGTTATATCGTTTAACTTCTACGATTTCTGAACACATTGAATATAATCCTCATTTAGAACGTGTTCCCTGTTCCAAGTTTCCTGATCCACCGAGGAAAAGCAAACATTATAACAACACTAGGAGGAAGTATTTTGTAACATTTTATGTCCTGTTGTAAAACCCCCATACGTATTCCGGGATCATGGTATAGCATAAAATATATAACTAAAGATAACTAGATACATAGTAAAACTACTGCGTAATAACATATACAAGATTTACACTCTCAAACATTGGTAAGTTTTTTTTTTTGTAAGGGGACGACCATGTGATATTCTTGGTGGGGCTGGGGGAGAATGATTTTCGGATAGACAATTTATTGTCATGTGTTGATACGCATGCTTAATTTTTATTTTCACTTTTGTACACAACTGATTTTTATGCATTTTGTAATGTAGAAGATTCATTTTCAAACTATATTGTGCAAGGTTATTTACTTTCATCTCTCACCAGGCCAGCATATTTATTTTAAAAATCCTTCTGCCCTCCCCCTCCAAAAAAAAAATTAAAAGACAAAAAAATCGTCGTCCCCTCATCAACAATTGTACTTGTATAGCCTTGGATTGAATAGTTTTGTAATCATGTTTACAGATCGCATAATGCGTCAACACAAGTATACATTTATTTTTTTTTTATTGTGGAAAAATCACTAACTCTATGGTAGATGCTAAACAAAAAGACTGTTGACAGATGTTTCCTGTTACATGTATAAAGTTATAGTGTATCAGTATATTGAAAAATAGCAGCGTGCTAGTCGACTCAACAGTGGCTACTGTAAATAATGTATACTTAATGTATTAATTTGTGTTTCTAAAGACAATACATGTATATAACGGTAATTCCCGCAAAATTTGGTTTTGGATAACGATGCCCTTCTTGTACACTTTTAGGATAAATACCCAAAGTTTGTTAATCTTTCGGAGGTAGCTATAGGGTCAAGTTAACTCGAATTTATTCAACAGAAGGGCCATTGTTAACATGTATTTCATTGTTTCTTTGTTTAGACTTACAGTATCACAGCTCTATGTGTGTACTTTTGAGGTCTTAACGGTATTATGGCTTTTTTTAAAACAATATCTTATTAACGAACGCCTGGGGATAGCCAAACCCGAAATTTTGAGTAAATGTCTAAAATTTGGACCCCATTTATCTCTAAAATTAGCACACGAAGGTATATTTTTATTACGTATTTGAATTGGCAAGGTGAAAGTTAGCTTGTATGCAATTTTTTGTAAAAAATAACCGTGGGATCAAAATTGTATCGTATGCCCTTAAGTATTGATATGTGTTTATTTGTTTCATATTATATCTAACCGAATATAACGACGGGGGAGAAACGGCAGGATACAATAACGGGATATTAAATTGTCTTTTTATTCTGAATCGACGTATCCATAAGTAACTTTCTATAATGTTAATTAGCATATTCATCTCAGTCTTTATTATATATTTCTAGTTATGAATCACAACAACTGATAAGTAAATAAGAACTGTTTTGCAAATTTCATTGAATGATTAAATTACTTTAAAATGGAGTATTTGAATGTGTTCTGAAGACGACCAAGTGTTTTTAGCCTTTAACATAACTTTTACAGATTCAATCAGAAAACTCATTTGATAGATTAGATTTATGTCGCTATCATATTACAATCAGACAAATAAACATATCAAATTTAGTCTGCTAATATAGAACAGGACTGGAATATATTTATCTCGTAAATAGAAAAAAAATTCTGAATTTTTTTTCAATCTAAGTCTTCATATTATGAACATTATATGATGGAACAATGAATAAATAAAAGATTAAGAGATCAACGAAGCTAACTAGATAGATAGATATTTTTATTTTAAAGTACTGTGTAACAACTTTGTACATGTACATGAAATACAATATATTACAATTTTAAACACATGTAGTAGATAAACATGTATATTTATACGAACCAGCCTTTAGAGGATTATGATGCACTGTCGTTTATGTACGAAATAAAAACTGATATAAATATAAGAAGATATGGTATGATTATCAATGAGACAAATGACGTAAGTTAGCAACTCTAGGTCAACGCCCGCACGGCCTTTAACATTGAACAAAACCTATACCGCATAATTTTGTTATTTACGAGATAAATGTATTATAAGCTATAAAAGACCCCGAAATGACAGATGATACATATTTAGTCTTAATGATATATTGCAAAATAAAGTGTCAAATTCTAGTATTAAAACGCGTGTTCTTATATTTCAGTTAACAGAATGATTACGGGTTGAGTTATGTTTGGCTTGATATTCCTATCTATATTGGCTGTTCCAGTATGCTGTTCTGTTAATGTTGTTCATGTAAGTTCGTCTGCCAAGAAAATATGTTGATTAGATATTTTTTTACGTCTTTTAACCTACCAAGTTACCGAATTCAATCGATGTCATATTGTGGACCATTAAATTATACATATTTACTTTCGTGCAGTAAATAGATAAAATGTATGAATGACCAGTAATTACTTCCGCGAGAAAATATTACATTTTAAATGAATACTAATGTGAAGTCTAACATTTATCTCGCGGAAGCAATTACTGTTCAACGCTTCCAAGTTACCACGAAAGGTTACACTTCATTAATAAACTGTAGTTTTTTTTTCTGTTTAGGTCAGGAACCTGTAATTCAGTGGTTGTCATTCGATGCTGTCTGTTATGTATATTGTTTTTTTATAAATCAGGCCTTCTTTTTATTATTTTACATTTTATCATATCGGGGCTTTTTATAGCTGACTGTACGGTATGGGTTTTACTCATTGTTGGAGTCTGTACGAAGACTATTATTTCTTAAATCTGATTCATGTTGACTCTGTTGGATAGTTGTTTCAGTGGCCGCAATCATTCCACCTTTCCTTATTTTATATTGAAACATTTGCCTCAAGTAATTAAGGAATAATGTCAAATAAATGTTTTTTCTTTCTTTTTTTCTTTTGTTTTTAATATAAAAGCGTATAACCATGAAAAGTTCAATATACATGACAGACAGCATCGAATGAAAACCACTGAATTACAGTCTCCTGACTTGCAACAGACATACATGAAATGTGGCGGGGTTAAACATGTTTGTGAGCGCTCAATCCTCGTCTAGCCCTGGACCGTTGTGTAGTAACAAGACAACAGAAGAACAGACTAAAAAGTCAGTTGGAAATGGCTAGACTCATCAGATCGGCACGAAACACAAAACAAAATTAACATGAAGACAAAAAGACATAATGTGCCGATGTGAGAGGATTTGCAGTTACTGAAAGCTATTTCAAAGCCAATAACAACTAATGAGTTAATGAGGTTCTCCAAGACTAAGGTATCAGTCAGTACACTTCAAATGAATTTAGTGTAAATACATCATAAACATTCTGAGAAAAAGCATGATCTTGTGCTATACCGAAATATAAGTCAATAATATAGACAGGATTTAGGTTTTCATATATGCATATAATGCTTTGATTCACCAAAAACCAAATACATGTCAGTATCGATGAAAACAATAGCCAAAGACCTATCTACGACGATAAATTGATATTCATTAAATATAAGTTTATACAAACTTAAGGATCAATGAGTTTACGTGGATCGTATCTAAATTTATGGGCTTTCTAAACAACCTACCATAAAATTAGGATGTGATATCCCATTTTGATTATAATTGTACAGTTCAACCAAAATCAAAAATCAAAACATGCGTTCAGACGAGACCAAACAAAAATATATATTGTATCACTGACAAATTTTGTTCATGTGAATTTTTATATAAATCGAGTTTGTCCGTTAAATTTGGCTGTTTAGTGGTTATTCAAAGTGAGTCAACCAGAATTGAGGCCGAATATTTAAAATATCACTATAAAAGTGTGAATGTTGTATATATATATGAGCAGAAAGTTGACATTGAATCAGAGCTAGGCCACACGAGGACTCGTCAAATAGTGTTTAACGTACCAATGTCACTCGAACATAGCTGTGTATTCCTGGATCAATTGTAACCAGAAGGACGATCCTTTAGTGTGGTTATTACAGTCGGACGGGAGAAGTGATGAAATCCATACTTAAATAGCGTCAGCCAAGCTAGCTGGTAATCATGACATAACAAAAGCATATTCATTTTTCTGTGAATACTTAAAAATAAATTGAAACAGCACTGAGTAACACTCCAAAATAAGAAAATACTTAGAAAATATGCAGGCGTTTCTCGGTAGACACATTCCGTAAATCGGTACACAGTTGTTTGTAACACAATGAGGGTTAGAACATCATTTAATCACATAACGACAAATGTGTACTACATTAACAGACTAAGGGAATAAGAATATTTATTATTCCAATCAAGGGCACTTGATGGGCAGCATAACATGTACACATAAAACAATACATCATGATTTGTAACAGAAAAACATTTTTATATATTAAAATGAAACATTAAAAAGTTCAGACAGATGTTATTATCTTCATTCTATAAAAATCACATACATTTAATTCCAGGCAGGATCAGAACTATAAAATCATTACAATTATCATTGTCATTGTTATTACATACATTAATTAACATTTCGTCTAACATCTAGACATGGAATAATATAGCTCCCTAAATATTTAAGTATAGACAAATTTTCATTAGTAAATAACCAAACAAATTTTGCCTCATTTGAAAGATATATAAAATTGGGACAGATACAGTTTATCTCCTTGAAAAATATCTCCCTATCATTATTGTATGCTGGACAACTAGTAATAAAATGTTGTTCACTATACAAGTGGTGTTACAATTATTTTGACAACCGTAATAAAATCACCTTTGGACAATTTGTAACAGTTTTTCATTACATACAGACAAATGAGTATTTAATTAATAGACTCTTCACTTTATTATACAATCCGTTCTGACTTCAACTACGCTGATACATGTATCCTGCAGCAAATTAATAACCTTACACAGACTGACCAGGAAGATTGACCGTATATAAATACTAAGAAAGAAACAAAACAGGAGATTCCATCAGGTCTCCACCCTTTTGGGTAGGCAGGAATTCATTCACGACCAGAATTCATTTTAGTCTGGACCGAAATTATACACTATACGATCTACGTGTCCGTGTGACGTTTGTGAACTTTTGAACATTTGAACTTTAAAGACAATTTGTGAACTTTCGAACATTCAACTTTAGAACATTCTTAACTTTGTAATTCCATAATAAATTTTATTTACTTACGACTTCGTTATATGTCGAAAATATATATTTATATAACTTTCCTCAAAGAATGACAGTTACATACTCAGCTAGTGATATGATAAAAATATTAGTTCTCAATATCTTTGACTTACTGTCATGCTACGTTTGTTTTTTTTTTTTTACAATTTTACCGTACACTTACTCTGAAAGTTTCTTATTACAAGAATTAATGATCATATGGATTGGCCGTAAACTGATCGTCACAGAAATGTGAACAATCCCTAAATATGATCGTTCTACTTTTGATCAAATACCAGTCAAACGTGGAGAACAGTAATTTATTAATCAACAGAAAAACAGAAACTATCAATTACATTGCATATATAAAATGTATTTGTCATTATGAAAACTATGCAGGGGACCAGAGACTTTATACAAATACCCCGATATTGCCGTCTGGGTTATAAAGAAAGTCTTAACACTGTACATACGTTATGGTACCAGAGGTACCTTCTCTGCCGCCAAACTTTTTCTGGTCTACCCCATCTGCCAGAGTTGGGCGAGACTATGGTAGTTATGTATGTGGTGCTGTGAATAGTAGAGACAATGTCTGCCTCTACCTCGGATATCATGACCCACGCGAAAACTCTCTTGATAAGGCCAGTATCTCTCTTCTGCCAGACCAGCTTGACTCTGACTCATACTAGTACTATACCCCAATAGTTTTTGGGATCAAAGAAAGGCGAAACGCCGTGCCATAAAGATACATGGTTAGCTATAACAATTTTTTAAATAACGTTTCAGGACGACATAAAGAATAAAACATGAAATTAAACCAATATTGTTTTTGCAGATTTTCTCAGAAGATATTGTTGAATCATTTCGCGATATTCCTGCAGGCTTCGGTGGAAGTTTACCAGATGCAGGCATCAAGGTAAGATAGATTGTCATTGTTTTTCTTGATATGTATTTTGATTGAGTTAAGCCATTTCAACTGATATTTTATAGTGTGTCTTTCTATGTTGTGATGTTACGCTATTGTTTCAGGTAGGGTGAAGGTTGGCGCCCATTAAAACGTTTAAATTTGCTGCATTTGTTTGCACCTGTCCTAAGTCAGGAACCTGATGTTCAGTGGTTGTCGTTTGTTGATGTGCTTCATAAGTGTTTCTCGTTTCTCGTTTTTTATATAGATTGGACCGTTGGTTTTCCTGTTTGAATGGTTTTACACTAGTAATTTTTGGGGCCCTTTATAGCTTGCTGTTCGGTGTGAGCCAAAGCTCCGTGTTGAAGGCCGTCCTTTGACCTATAATGGTTTACTTTTACAAATTGTCACTTGGATGGAGAGTTGTCTCATTGGCACTCATACCACATCTTCTTATATCTATATAAAAATAAGAAGATGAAGTATGATTGCCAATGAGACAACTCTCAACAAGAGACCAAATGACACAGAAATTAACAACTATAGGTCACCGTACGGCCTTCAACGATGAGCAAAGCCCATAACGCATAGTCAATTCATACGAGAAAACTAACGGCCTAATTTATGTTCAAAATAATAATAAAAAAAACCAAATATGTTACACGGCAACAAGCGACAACCACTGAATTACAGGCTCCTGACTTGGGACAGGCACATACAAAATGTGGCGGGGTTAAACTAGTTTGAAGGCGCCAACCCACCCCTAACCTAGGACAGTGGTGTAACAGTACAACATAAGAACAAACTATAAAAATGAGTTGAAAAGGGCTTAACTCATTAAATGGATACAAATAGAAATGCATCTAAGAAAAACACACAGTGGACGTGGCAGAGTACTTATACATCCCCACAACAAAAAAGACACTAAGTACAGATCTGAGAGTTCTCGCAGCTACTGACAGCTAGTTAACAACTAATAAAAAAAAATACATCTAAGACTAAAATATCAATTAGTACACATCCAACATCCAATGGATTTATTGTAATGACGTCATTAACAGTCAGAGAAAAACATGACCTTGTGCAATGTATACAGTTTATTTTATTATTCAAATTAATAAGATGATGATGATGGATGGCTGCTTAAGGGCATACGATACAGTTTTGATCCCATAATGAAAATTTGCTGAAAATTGCATATAGGCTATTTTTTTACCTGATTAAATCAAATATGTAATAAAAAATATACCCTCATGTGCTACTTTTTGAGTAAATTGAGGTTGAAATTTCAGATATTTCCTCAAAATTCGGATTTGTGGATGTATTTTTCCTTTCGACCGAAATACTTAACTCAAGCTGTTTTTTGTTAAATTATTTGTAATTTCTGTTTTAAATAAATGTTCTATAAATTTGTCAATTTTATTTTTACAAATAACTCATATTTATCAAATATTCATGAATGTAGAAAAAACACGTCATTTTTTGCTGTATATTTATCAAATTTAAAAAAAATTGCACTATTGACTTTTTCATGAAAATTGGTACACATAATCTTCAAACGTAATCAAACCAAATGTCATTCTAAAAACGAGGGGTCCATGAACTCGTTTTCAAGTTATATCAGTTTGAATGATAAAAATCAGTTGAAAACTGCATTTTTTCCCGATAAGTCACAGTTTGACGCGTCGAAAATAACAATTTACGTTAGCAACGACATTACCTCCCCTGTAACTGTATCGTATGCCCTTAACGTCCAGCGGCAAATAATATGCATACTCAGGACGAGAACATGTTAATGTAATATGAATATTAACCCTGCTTTGTACTAGACCGACGCGCTGAGCCGGAATTTGAACGTGCTAGTTCATAAGGTAAAAGTTTGCAGGAAGACATGTCACCAGGGGCGTAGCTAGAGAGAGAGAGAGAGAGAGTGAGGGACAAAGTTAACATATAGGAATTGGTCTTTCTATGTATGCATTTTAACCCTGTAAGACATGTATGTGTACGATAAATACATACAACTGGTGTAAACTTAGAGGAACTTTTTATATTGCGGGCATTGTTTAGAAAATACCAGCTACATAGTTGTTGGTACCACAACCATACCGTATACTCGCTTTGAGTGCAAAAAAAAACATAATCCCTTTAGGGTTACCAAAAATCTTAGAAAATTATTATTTTCCGCTTCGCCCCAAAGCACACATCTTACTAGAATGAAGACTCTTCAACTCGTATCGATCCGGGAATAATGACTGTTACCTTGTGAACTAGTTCAATATTGACTAAGTATGTAGGTCTAGACAACACGAATAGTTCATTTTCACATCACGTCAACGTATCTCTCCTGTGTGCATGTAATATTTGCTACCGGACATTAATAACCATTCAATCAATCAATAGTTTCCGTATACTAGTAGATGAGAAGTTGGAACTGCTGTTATTAAAAAAAAAAGTACACATTTTCCAGTACATGTTTTACGTTTTTATTTATTTTACAAAAAAAAATCTTTTATATAGATTCGATAATTCTAGTCGTTTCTATATGGGCCGGCTATACGAATGGTTGATTGTAAAACCATTTAAATAAATTGTTAATTTTAACTTGTTTTACTGGACTATTAGGTCATTTAATTTTAAAAAGAACTGTCTGTCCGAGTAGGACACTAAACTGCTGATTCTTGTTCGAAAGATACACCAAACTTTTATTACACGTATCTTCACTGTTAACATCTAGATATTGCCATACAACTGGTGGAATGCATATGAATTTGTTAATTAGCTGGCTAATTAAAAATGCAGATCATGAAAAAGATCGTGATCAAAGTGCCATTTCCTCTGAAAAGTTCATTAATTTCAACTTCGAATATTCCTAACTACGTAAAATTCGAAATTCCCATCTCTCTCTTGTAGAGTTTACCCACAAAATTTTTAAACATCTAAATACATATGTTAAACAAAATATATGAGAATGTGTCCACCAAGTATTTTGTATCCATGATGTTTATACTAACAGAAACTCCACATATAGTATTGTGTTTATGTTTATTGTTTGTTTTTTTAAAAATCTACATTGCTCAATACAAATACTAGCATAAAGAACAAATCTCCGTGATTTTAAAAGCTTTCACGTACAAAAAACGCAAGCGACAATGTTAAGTCTTCATTCGACTCGAAGTTAAACAAATAGTTGACCAAAAAACCACAACAAAAATGTCCACGTTTTATTTCGGTTGTGATTGTTTTGAAACGCTATATATGCGGAGCTTCCGGGTGGCTTCACCTCCCTGGCCCCCTACCAGGGCTTTGCCCTAGACCTACTAGGGGCCTTAGGCGGCCCCAGACCCCTCACCCTTTAGTTTGTGATTCCACTTTATTAAGAAGGTAGCTACGCCCCTGGTCACCTTACCCGGACAAAAATTCTTCTGACTCCGAGCCGACCAGTCTTTGCTCTTACTCCTTAATGCCGCGTGCTTAGCGGAGAAGCAGCAATTACCATTTTTAAAGTCTTTGGTTTCGAACCCACGATCTCCCGCACTCGAAGCGAACACGCTACCACGAGACCACCGAGGCGGTTCAATTAATAAGAAGCTATATATAATAACACCCAAGATTAATTTTAATGTCTCAAATTTAATGAAAATTAAAAGCAGCAAAAACTTTAGAATTTCAATACGTATAACTTTGTATCGGATACATGATCTTCGAATTAGTGTAATTAAGAAGAACTAAGCAATAGTCCGCAAAACACTACAGTACATTAGTCATCTACATTTAAACATTCAAATAGTTTCCAAAGTACATTTTTTATAATATCATATACATGTATATTCTAGGGGTTCCTGAAATATTTGAAACCAGTTTCTAAAGATTCATGCCACTATTATGAACCTTCGCCGCCTTGGATCGACAGCAGTACAGTATGGATAGCATTGATGGAGCGACAAGGTTGTGAATTTGTCAATATGGTTAGTAGGCTGATCATCATTTGCTATTTACACCATGGTTGTTTTAATGTCAGTACACAGTACTACTAATGCTGCTATCTTATTGTTATTTTAAATGTAACTGATACACGTATTGATAGTTTTTCATTTATAAGTGTTTGCTTCTTTATGTCGTCCCAAATTATTTTTATGAATGAAAAGAGATGTAAGAGAGGTAAACGATTATGATACAGAAACGGGGAGAAAACACAACTTTTCATGTTTTTTTTTCAAAAATTGAAATTTGTTTTCTTAATAATATGAATACGAAAATATAGTATTTACAAAATTGAAAATTCCAGACTAATTCTTAACATGAAAAAACATGTTTCGTATAAAAAAAATTGCACTATATGATAGAAATGAAAATATATCTAACCGAACAAATATTTTCAAATTCAGTTTATGGAAATTTATGGACTTGTCTATCTGATTTTTTTCACACAACAAGGTGAAATGGACCTCACCATATTGAAAATTCTAGTAATATCAGTATAAGCTTATAAAAAAAAATCCTCTTCAAAGCAAGTATATATATTTTGTAATCTAGAACAATTGAAATAAATATAAGATTTCTTGTACTTGAGTGCTTATTTTTTACAACATTGGCATCCTTAGCAATTTTACCAGAAATCATCAATTTATTCTCCCTTTTGAAATTACTTCAAATATTAAACAAGTTTCAGTTAACTCTTATATACGGCTTTCCTGGTAAGACTTTTTCTTTGGTATGGATAATTATAGTCAGCTCGAAGCAAATAATCGATTCGAAATAGCTCTTACTAATATTTCAACAAGAATATAAAAAGAAAACGTTAAAAAATGACATTTTATAGGATAAAGTGATCGATATAGACTTCCTTAATTTATATGCATGATTGATGAAAACTAAATCTTTACTACGTCTGACCTCTGGATGTGGGTCAATTAGCCTGAGAATATCTAGAATGGGTCAGTCTCATATATATACGTTCTACTCAAATATGATATTTGTATGCTTTTTTGAACCCTTACATGTAATATATAAATCGATAAATCTATGTCCGTTTCATGTATTCCCATTATCGTGTTAATTGGGCGTGCCGTACCTGTCCATTTTCCTGCTTTATTTTGATCTGCATTGAGATATCGATTAAGGCAGGCTTATGAATTTGACATTGATTGAATATTAGATCGGTAAAACTTTAAATAATAATAATTACAGTGTTTGACTTAAAATATCTGCAAAATTTGCTTCTTATTATGTTTTATTAGTCGACATTATGAGAAATCGTACGCGTTTAAATGCAAAAGAAAAATTGAAAAAAAACCGAAATTTTAATTTTGTATTTAATGTCTTTGCATATAGGTACTCGCTGCACAGAAACTACATTACAATGCAGTAGTAGTACACAATAACGCAACAATGGGTAATTCGGTATTTGAAATGACAGCCAATGGAGTGTCAGGTAGGTTAAATATTTATACTCAGCGTCAATTGATAGGGGACGGTGTATTTATCCAGTCCAATTATACCTTTCAATAAACTCAGCATAGATACCAGAATTAAAATTGTGTACGCCAAACGCGTGTTTCTCGTCAGTGACGCTCGAATCGAAATAGTTAAAAAGGCCAAAATAAAGTACGAAGTTGGAGAGCATTGAGGACCGAAAATTCAATGAATCGTAATCAATCAACAGTTATGCGTGTCATTATACGACCATGCTATGACCATCATGGATACTACCATCAGCCAATAATACGGTCACTTCTTATGAGCAGCATGCAAGAAGAAAATTTCCTATTGATAAATCAAGAAATTATTAAAAAACTAAGGTTCCAACTTCCTCAGGCAAATTTGACCTTAGATAAATTTGGCGATTTTGTTAAGGTCCTTTTTGGTCATACAGCTAACGTTATAGCGTATGTAAGCATCCTAACTTTCGATTTTTTCTAGGTTTGACCGTTGTTAGTGAAGATAAATCTAGAAAACCGCTTCGGATGCACGAAATCTAGAAGGCATTTTTTTTCCTTCATTTTCATGCAAGTATTAAATTGTGGAGCAGAAACTTTAGATTGTTGGAGAACTTAATTTCCACCACCGGTTCTTAGTTTAGTTTCTGTTGTGTTTGATTTAGTTTTTTATCAGTTTTTTATATTTTGTCGTTAAACGTCTGTCATGTTTCAATTGGACAGATTTGTCTGTATTTTAACCTAAAATTTCACATGTTGTCATATTTTTAAAATTGAGAATCACTGTTGGTTTATAGATTTGATAATGTCTTCGGATTAGAAACTAGACGTCAACCAATAAATGCGCTCCTGTGTGATACCTTGTCGTCGATTAGGACTTATCCTTAAATTTCAGATAGAGACATGAATAAAAGAAGGTCGTCACTAATGGACTCATGTTTAACCCCGCCGCATTTTTGCGCCTGTCCCAAGTCAGGAGCCTCTGGCCTTTGTTAGTCTTGTATTATTTTTAATTTTAGTTTCTTGTGTATAATTTGGAGTTTAGTATGACGTCCATTATCACTGAACTAGTATACATATTTGTTTATGGGCCAGCTGAAGGACGCCTCCGGGTGCGGGAGTTTCTTGCTGCACTGAAGACCCATTGGTGGCCTTCGGCTGTTGTCTGCTCTATGGTCGGGTTGTTGTCTCTTTGACACATTCCCCATTTCCATTCTCAATTTTATTTGTTTGAATAAATACTGAATAATCAATCAAGAGGATTTGTAACATAAGAATTCTAATATTTTTTTTTCCTTTGAAGTACATATTGCTTACTGCCACAATATATTTTTAATTTAAGATGTTTTATAGATAATAACATGTCCTTGTCTATATCATCCCGAAACTCCCATATCAGCCCAAGATATAATTAATAATAACTAATTAAAATGAGTGCGAATATGATATGAAATTTCTAAACAATAAAAGAATCTGATAATTTTTAGAAATTCTATTAAAACAAGATTGCGCTCCTATTTTGATATAGTCGAGGACCAATAAAATAGAGTTAGTTTTTAGTAGTTATATGATATTGTTGTTTTGTTTTTGATTTACAATTAACGTTTTTAAACACTGTGGTATACTTTTTATTTTGTTCAAATTGAAATTTAAAGAGTTAAATAATTGAATTGATAAAGTTAAAGGGATATCTTAATTATTTCTATTTTTTTCACTTCTTTTTTACATACTCTCGTGCTATAAATGGTTTAATGTATACTTATTCATAATTCTTACAGGAAACAACAGCAAGAATATTACTATTCCATCTGTATTCATTTCATATAAAGATGGAATATCATTAAGAGATTATGATCTCAGAAATGATGTTAGAAATAGTTCAAGGTTTGTATTGACTTTTCAAAGACTCTCGACACTGAATTATTAAGTCATGATCATTTATGAAGGCTTTTCTTTCTAACCAGTCTTGTTCAAATCCAAGTCTTTTGATAATGTTTAAAAATCAAACAAAGACATACATGTTTAAACAAAATAAAAAACAACGTTCTACAGGCAACATTTTTACTTTTATGTTTTTTTGGTAAATGTATTGTTCAGTTTCTTTTTGATTATAAGTTATAACTCGCGGAGTATTAGTGTATTTTCCAAAAACTTTGTAAATAACGCTTGGAGTTCTTGAAAAGTTAAATCCAAGTTTGAATATTTTTTGATCGAAGTATGAATTTACAGTATCAATATATTGTTTAAAGTGTCAAAATAGAGACAAAGTAACTGAGTTTATTATACTCCGCTCCGACCGAGAGGGTATACTGCTTTACCCAGAAACTACAACCGTATATAACTTTCTGAAAATTAGTATCAAGATTCATGTAAATAGATATAGGAAGATGTGGTATGAGTGCCAATGAGACAACTCTCCATCCAAGTTACAATTTATAAAAGTAAACCATTATAGGTCAAGGTACGGCCTTCAACACGGAGCATTGGCTCACACCGAACAGTAAGCTATAAAGGGCCCCAAAAAATTACTAGTGTAAAACCATTCAAACGGAAAAACCAACGGTCTAATCTATATAAAAACGAGAAACGAGAAACACGTATGAACTACATAAACAGACGACAACTACTGTAATCAGATTCCTGAATTAGGACAGTAGCAAACATTTGCAGCGGGATTAAACGTTTTAATGGTACCAAACCTTCTCCCTTTTCTGAAACAATAGTATAACATCACAACATAGAAACACACATGCTTTACCGTGTGATGCGTTTTCACATCCGTCATTCGTCAATTTTCTGTTACTCAAATAATTATATATTCTAAAACACAAATGTGTGTCTCTTTTGACTCACGAACTACGGAATAAGAGCCTCTTGAAATTTGGCATCAAGCTTCATATGAGTATATCATACTTATAGCGAGGGTACCATTAGTAAGCAATGCCTCAGAGTGCATCATGTTTTTTATTCAAAATATCGAACATGAAACATGGGTCAATTTTGTTTATGTCAAACATTTAATTTGCATGCCATGATTCTGAAATGGGTTTCCACTGATCTTAATTGAAAACATCCTTTTACAAATCAATTGAAATCTACACGTGCATTACTGGTAAGTTTTGAACGAGTCCAACAAACCAACCTTAAGCTCAAACAAACGTACTGTGTATTTGTATTTAGAAATGAATAGTTCTTTTTGTAGTTTTATGGGGTGTTAAATTTATGACCGAAGCGTGTATTGTATCAAAGCGGAAGCATTATATTATTCTAATAGTTTTTTAATGCTTAAAAACTAGGAAATTACCAGTTAAACTTAGATAATTGTTTGTTTTGTTTTACATATTCCTACGCATTGTTGGAGTATTATCACATAATTACATTACATGTATGTATCAAAAGAATCCGTACTTTTGATTGGCTAAAATAAATCGCGAGGCATTCCAATATCTAGTTGTATTTCTCAATAAATATATAATAATAATGGCATTTTTGCTTTTGATACTGACTTATTCAGCAAGAATATCAAGCGATCCCGCTAAGGCGAACTGATGAAGTCAGTTTCAAAAAATAAAATGCAACTATTCTTTTTATCGTCAATTTGTCTTTACAAAATGTTTTTTATTGGTTGAGAATATGAAATAAATGAGTTAGTTAGTAAAACTACTTTTACGCGTACTAAACGTTTTCATAGTTGTTCGGTTGTATGAATGTAGTCGCGTGCATTTCATTGATAAATTGACGCGGATGGACATGAACACGCGACGTCCTTGCACTGATACGTGACCTAATATTTTCGAGTATCAAGTCATGTCCATAATCTTAACAAATATTAGGCAGTAAGCGAGAAAAGCAATCGAGTTGAGATGACCAATTATAATCTGTTTATCGCTATTTTACCTATGACTACATTGTCAATTTCATGCCAATTTCATTATCAACGACACGTGCCCCTTAGTTTCTAGCGATAATTTTTATATCACTCAACTCCGCTGAGAAAGGAAATTATCAGTCAGTAAGATCAAAGGAAATTTTCGTAAAGTATCGTAATTTCATGGTTGCAGCATTAAAATGTTACTAAAAGAATTGTAAGCTTCTCGTTTGTAATATTATAAGGCTGTAAAAGAGTTGATCGTGCACACATTTTTAGTATGAAGCGCGGAATTGGCTTCGCTTAACGCATTTACATCCAAATGAAAATACAAAAAAGCATTCAGTTCTTAAATAAAGCACGGGCAGCCATCATATATGTTGCTTTTTAAAAGAACATAAGAAATTACTATAAAATAACTATAAACCACCGCGTTATGTTGTTAGACAATCAAAATGATGGAATCCTTATGATACAATAATGGAATGTGATTATTTAGAAAAATTCTAATTCAAAATTGTAAAGAAATCTTTATCAATTACAGGTACTTGGTACAAATTGAAGACGGCAAAGCATTTACTGATTCAGACTCAGATTCAGAAGATTCGAATCCTCCGGCTTTTGTATTTTGGGGAAATCTGGTGTTGACAGTACCTTTAGTCTTCGTAGTAGTATGCTGTACTTGTAAAGTTGTAAGTTTATCAGGGATTACGCTCAAAATTCTTTATTACTACATGTTTAGACTCTTCATGTGGTAAATTAGACTCAGGTCCAATGAAATCATTATGCATATGGTAACAAAGCAAAATTATCGTTGTAAAATGGAATTACTTTTTTGGTGAAAAAATTAATCGAAATAAGGCTATAAACGAATAATCATTTTTTATTTTATAAACAAAATACGTATTGTGTTTAAAAATGTTTTTAGCGTTTCACTTTGATTTTATAACTAGAAAAGTCCAGACAGCAACTATTCAAAAGTAACTACACATTTGTTAATTAGTCATTACACATCTGTTCATTCTGAATTCAAGTGCAATGAATGTATTTTTGCTTAGTTGTTCCATGTGGAAAAAAGTAACATATTGTAGATAACTCTTATTATTCCACTGTTTAAACATATTGATAGTTTAATCAATATTTGATTGGTTGAGACTATCCCACGTGTCATTGAACAAATCTTCATATTCCATTCTGAGGATCATATTCCCCTCTGAAATGTCGGGATTACTTCGTGCGACGTTACGCGCGGTTAATGTACATAACGTTTTGAACTTCTTATTCTTCTTAAAATAGCGATAGCAAAAATCATTATCATGTTCAAATTTATTTCAGACGATAAAACAAAAAGACTTATAATTAAATTTTGATCCTTACTGTTTATCAATGGGTATGTCGTGTTTAGTTTGACTTACAAAAACAAGCGGATAAGAAAAAAATGTATTCAAAATAATGTTAAATGTATTGATAGTAAACAAAGCATAGTCAGTGGAATAAAACATTCATTTCCCTTTGCCTCGGGAGATATGAAGATTTGCTCACCCTCGAAAAATTATATTTCCCTCGGGCAGAGCCCTCGTGAAATATGAATATTCTTGGGTGAACAAATCTTCATATCTCCCTCCGGCACGGGAAATAAATGTATAACTTTGGAAATTCTAAACACAGTACACGATGGCGAACACGAAAAAACCCTAAATAGCAATTCTAAAACAAAACAAACCAAACTTAACAAGATTAATGCACAGGCAAACAAAGTAGAACATTACATATTATAAATTTAAGCATTGCCCAACACGAACTGTCAGCAAATTTACTTCATAAGCAGTGTTGAAATATTCGTCTATATTTGCCTAAAAGTTGCTCCGATACAGTTCATTGTATGTGTGAGACTAATAAGAAAAGTTTTAAATTAGCTATTATTAAAGGATATGAGCAAATAAGCCCTAATACGGATAAATCATCATGTGCAATACTGATGACGTTGCCCTATCGATATAAATAAAGAGTTGATATTGCTTTTCGGACAGGGCCAATACGGAAAAAAGCCGTATTGGCCCATGGGCTAATACGGGACGTTCACTTCCGGTTTCAATTTTCTTGTGCCTTACTTAACTTTGGACATTTGTATTATATTTTTTTAACTTAAAATCATAAAATAAAAAGTTTTAAAAAAAATTATGTTCAGTATTTTGTAACGTCTTGACGTCTTTAAACGGAAATATTTCACAGCCTTTTCAAGTACGACTTTCGATTATTGACACTGTTTTATTTCCGTTGATCAATCATTAGAACGCAGACGATTCAAGAGTAAGAATAGAAACTGTCTGATTTATTCTTCCCAGCTACTTTTATTTGCTAGATAAAATGAATTGTAATAGCATAATATTAAGTACTTGGACGAGAAATCAGAAATTACATCTGACTGACAGAAAATGTTGACAAAAAATCCATAGACGTGAATGCGAAAAGACAAGTTCAGATATGAAATTCTGTATCTTCTTCACGGTAAGTTTCTAAGTTTATTCTAATTAAAAGAATTAAAATCATTTAACAAAAGTGTTATGAACTGGCTGTTTCTGTATTGGCCCTGTTATAGATTCTCGGTCAGCTGTATTGGCCCTCGACTCTTCGAGTCTCGGGTCCAATACAGCTAACCTCGAATCTATAACAGGGCCGATACAGAAACAGCCAGTTAATCTCGGTCAGCTGTATTGGCCCTCGACTCTTCGAGTCTCGGGTCCAATACAGCTAGCCTCGAATCTATAACAGGGCCAATACAGAAACAGCCAGTTAATAACACTATAGTATGAAAGGCTGTCCAAACAAAAGAAAATCCACGAGAAAAGTGTTAACAGTTTTACGAAGCAAAACCAGTTGTCACTTTACTTTATCACTCATTACCTGTAAATTCTCATTAATTAATCATTTTTATTCAAAAATTCAAAACTGGAGTCGAACGCACATATCATGTGCGGGATTCAAACCTCTACGAACTATGATTATTATATGATGTCCTGCTATTATGGTTTCGTTTATAGTATAGTTTTTAGATGAAATCAGTCATCGGTCGGTAATTAATAAAAGTGTCAATAGGAAGGCATAAATAGTTATATATTGGATTTATTAACTGCTCTAGCTCATGTTTTTATAGTCATAGACATTTTTAGAAACTTCTAGTATTTAATGGGATCTGTTAAAATCACCCAAATTAATCTAAATTAAAATTCTTTTCAGTGCATTTAAGATTAAAATAACTTTAAACACGACATTAATGAACATTTTCGTCTTCTCATTGGTCATTATGATTTCAATCAACAATCCTAATTTTGTATAACCTGATGCTGTGTGCAACCTACTTTCTAAAAATCAGTTTATAGACCATTATGTTTCCATTTTGGTCATTAATTCTTTCCATTTGGGTAAAAGCCTTACGTTGTAATTAAAACAGTAGCCGACAAAGAGTTTGTATGGCTTGAAAATGTAAAAACAAGTCTAGGTTTATTTGAAAGGCAAGCCATGTGTAAACGGTCGTTCAACATTGTGTCCAAGTCATGTTTCAATCAATACATTTCTTCTAATTTCATGAGTTTTTTTTCTCTGGAAAAGTCTGAAGTAATCAGGATTGAAAGTATAAACGTAACACACTCAAAGTGACTCTGAAAAAATCCTTCTATGGGAAATGAGAGATTAAAAATCGTGGATGAAAATCATAAACATGTAAGTTGAAACCATAAAGATAACGTTTTATTGCGAAGCCTTTATTGGCATTTTAAAGAAATTCGTTCAATAGATATTCATAAAATCAGTTCTATGTGTCCTTATCAAACTCTAATCGATAAAACTAAAGAGAAAATATACGAAACCTTATAACTGTACCAATATATATAACCAATATAACGGACTGAAAATAAAAACACCATTTTCTGTTGACGACTATCCTTCTTTCCTCTTTCTTTTGTCTTTGATACAAATTAAAATTGGAAAGCATAATTTTGCTTACAGAGGAAAAAGGTAAATGAAAAATAAATATCAATATTTTCTATTTCAGAAGTACGACCAAAGAAGAAGAACCTCTACAAATACTCTAAGAACTCCTAAATGTGTAAAAACAAACAGAAAAGAAGCCCACGAAAGTCCCATTAGAATGACAAAATTTACAAAAGGTCCGTAAACTAGTTTTTTTGTTCTCTATTTTTATCTTTTAATCTGACCGTCGATAATTGCTATTTAAGTGTGTCAATAATTTTGATTATGATGACACATATATATTTATACAAGGTTAAAACATTATTTTTAGTATACGCCAATGAGAAATTTACAAAAAAAGAATTATAAAGGCAAAAAAAAGTCCATATCGTATTAATAGCATTTGTTATATGGTGCATTATTTAAAAACAAATCAGTAATGTAATAGAAAACATTTAGAGTTAATAAAATATTTATGTGAAATTCTATAGTCAAATTAGTAATTTGATGACGAAAGAAAAACAATTTCGATATAAGATTTGAATCGTCATTCTTATTTTACTTATTTTTTTGTTTTGATTATCATAGGACAGGCCAAGGTTGGGTAAAAAAAAAACTAATCATGCCCTCAACTATTTAAGATGTTTAAAAATAATTAGTTTTAATGGGGTTCGTGTTGTTCAGTCTTCAGATTTCAGAGTAGCGTTTTGTAGACTGCTGTTTGTCTTTTCGACGTTTTTTTCATTTTTGCCATGTACATTACATATATACTAGTATTGTCTGTTTTTCATTGACTAATGATTATTGATTGTCCTTTGGTATATTTTGTCTCATTTTTAAAACCTGTACCGTTTTCTGTTACAGACCACAGATACGAAACTTGTCCGGTGTGTTTAGACGATTTTGTTGAGAAAGATAAGATATGGATATTACCGTGTGAACATGGTAGGTAATTTAACGGCGGCGAAAGTTGAATTTCTGAATTGTTCCATTGTGTCATAAATCTAAATAACTCGGATGCTTTTATCTTGTAATAAATAATTTCTGATCAGGAATATTTCATTAGAGTGGGTTTATATGAGATTATACCTAGAATTCTTTATTTTTGTAAATTTTCAAATCATAGTAAAATGGAGAACTACATGTCGTATACACCATTGTTTAGGGACAAGCTGAAGCATGCTTCCGGGTGCGAGATTTTCTCGCTGCGTTGAAGACCCTTTGATGGCCTTGGGTTGTTTTTCTGTTCTTTGGTCGGGTTGTTGTCTCTTTTACACATTTCCGGTTCCATTGTTTATTCTATAGCTGAATTACTGTAAATGCTTTCTTGTTAGTTCTTTTTCAGGAATGCTAATATCATAAAGAAAACACAGTTAACAATTGCAAATTATATTCTCATATATTCAACATGAATGACATGATAACAATGTCGCGTTGAAAAAGAAAATAAAAACGATGCACGTGTGCTATGACAAGAACTTGTCTGTATAAATTTTTTACGAACTCAGCCGCGGATCCAGACATTTTAAAAAGAGGGGTTTCAAACTCTTGGAACACCATGAAACGTTCACATAATAAAAAAAAAAAAAAAAATTCAAATCGAAAAAAGGGGGTTCCAACCCCCGGAACACCCCCCTGGATCCACCAATGGAACTTGCATAAGTCCGGCGTCAGATATTTATAACGTGATCATATAAAAGAATAATTAGATTGTGTTTCCTTTTCAGAATTTCATATACACTGTATAAAACCATGGCTTACAGAGAAACAGAGAACTTGTCCTGTTTGCAAAAGAATGTCAATTTCCTTGGATATTAAGAATGTTTAGTATGCAACAAATGTGTAATCAAATCATTGTTTATGTGTGTTGTAATTTTTATGTGTGAATGGCGACAATCAACAAATCAAAATATTATTTATGGTTGAAAAAAAATTATCTATTTTTAAAATGTCTTTTAATATTTATTTATGTTTTATACCATTAATCTTTTTTTATCGTTTGATATTTTTATGTGTAAGGGTTCTACGAATTCCACGCCTATGTACTCACTGTTATTTTGTCTGTGTGGTGATATATTAGGCATTAGGGATAGTTGCATGTGAAATTGAAAGATGTCCAAATATTGTATTCTTGCAGTTACTATTTATGTATTTCTATATGTTATAATGGCGATTTATTATCACATTAATATGTTTTGAAACCAATGTTTGCATTTAATTGTATTTTCCATGTTTGTTAACTTGTACCTCAACATTTGAACCTAATAAAGTATATACACGTTATGTTTTTGTTGTACGCATGTCTGAAAATCCATTACATAATCTTTTTTATCCTGTAATCAGCAATTTCACTATAATAATGGAGGTGTACTTATAAACATGCGATATTCGTGTAGTCTGATTAGACGTCTATGAACCATAACTTAAATTTTGACGTACACACAGAATGGAGCTGGCATTTTATCAAATTTTAAGTCATTTACAATACATTAATAAAGTAGCCTCAAAATATACAAACGTCATTAAATCACAATGATAGTATCTACTCAATGTAAATTACACAATTTGGTAAAAGCAAAATAAACATTCAGGAACCATTGTAGTTAAAATCTATTTAGTTTCGAAACAAATCCATTGATTTTGAATTTGATATCATATTACATATACCCGCCATCAACGGAAACTCGCCGCTCAGGAAAAACCAAATATTTTGTGAAAACTGAATCTCGGAGCAATGCATGAACCGTTTCTGGCTAATGATGCCAAACTCATCTGAATGTGACAATATAGAAATTAATACTAAAACGAAATTTTTGTTGTACGATGTCTTCAGCTAGAAAGATAACATAGAATATTTTCATGTTCACATACCCGCGAAAAACGTATTACCATAACAAAACATATAGTCACGATAAATAAACTCATCATAGATACCAGGATTATTTGTTTTCTTCGACAGACGAGCCTCTCGTCTACAAAAGGCTCATCACTGACGCTTGAATAAAAAAAATTTTAAAAGGCCAAACAAAGTACGAAGTCGAATATCATTGCGAACCAAGAATTTCGAAAGGTTTTGCCAAAAACAGCTAAAATAGTATATTCCTGGGGTAGATAACCTAATTAGTATTTCGAAAAATTCAAAGTTTTGTAAACACTTAATTTATAATTGAGACCTAGGCCTATCAATGATAATTCCTGTCAACACAGACTACTACCAAATTATTGTTATAATACATCATTGGCACATAAACAATATGACGGAAACTTTCAGACAGTACTTTCCGCTATCCTACGAAACGCAGAAAAACAAATGAATGTTACAGTATACAAATATCGTAGCGTACCTTTTTTCTATTAGCGTACGGGGAAATTGGTCAAGCTTATTACATCACAGTTCTTTATGAGGACCTCTTTGCGGTTCGCGTTACAGCAACGTCGATTTCGTTAAATTCAAAAGTTAGGTCAACTTGGGGATCAAAATTTAAAAAAAATCTTGAATATCCAAGGATCAATATTAAATTTCAGGATTAAATCGACACACATGAATATCTAAAAATAAATCGATAACTGCAAAACGATCAAAGGTCAACATTAGTTTTCTCATTTGAATTGAGTTACAATTGCCATTTCGGGGCCTTTTATAGCTTGTCATGCGGTATGAATTTTGCTCATAGTTGAAGGCTGTACGGTGACCCATAGTTGCTAACCCCTACGTCATTTGGTCTCTTGTGGAAAGTTGTCTCAATGAAAATCATACCACATCTTCTTATTTTTATATACGGTCTTGAAAAAGACAGATGTCTATGCCGTTTGTCAAGCATTAAAACACCCCTAGTCGAAACAGTTGCAAAAAAATGTTACAAAGTGCATTATAACAAAAATTCAATAGAAAGTTACTGAATAAAATTGAGAATGGAAATGGAGAATATGTCAAAGAGACAACCACCCGACCAAAGAGTAGACAACAGCCGAAGGCCACCAATGGGTCTTCAACGCAGCGAGAAAATCCCGCACCCGGAGGTGGTCCTCAGCTGGCCCCTAAATAAAATTGTGTACTAGTTCAGTGAAAATGGACGTCATACTAAACTCCAAAACATATAAATGAACTAAAATTAAAAAAACATACAAGACTAACAAAGGCCAGAGGCTCCTGACTTGGAAAATGTTTTCTTACAATATATCATTTATGTCTTTTTAAAATTGACTTTTTATATTAACCTATAACAATTTGTGACATAAAAATGTAGTATTATAATCTCCTTTTCAAAACATATTAAAAATTCCAAATAATTGATTCCAGGAAACATTTCCTATTGTTTTACTACTAGCTTTACTACCTCGACATTTAAATGCAAGGAAATACATATTTACACAGAAAAAACATATATACTTATATTTCTGTAATTTATACATATTTTATGAATTAAGCAATATAAAACGTCGCTTTCCTTTTGTTGCTTAAAGCAATATCATTTTACAGCCTTTGAAAATTTTCCCTTCCAGATTATGGCATGGATTTATTACATTTGGATGTTAAATAATCACGTTTTAGTTTAGAAATATTCTATTTGCAAGAATAACAAAAGGGATTAGACACAAGTTACAACAATATAATGAACATCTTCTACCGCTACAAATATAAACTCAAAACATTTATAATGACGAAAACATTGTAGGAATGTATGTCCTACAAAAACAGAAATAAGATACTGAGAAAAAGTAATACAAAAATCTAAGACAAGACAAGACAAAACAAGACAAGATTTAAGAGTGATATTTCTGAATCTTTGTGTTCTCCTGGTCAAATTATTATTTTTTTTTATATAATTGCTCAAATATAAGGTCCCCGTCACCAGCCAATAAAAACTCAATTGAGATAACATATCAGTTTAATTTTAAAATCAATAAATCCCATGCTAAGTTGCAGAAAAGACACTCGAAATAGAAGTGGCTGCAATCTTTAACACGGGGCGCGGCCAAAGTCGCATGCGGGATTAAAATGTCTGCATATAAAGAACTATACATGTTTCTCCATCGTGTAATACTAATACTTAACTTTCAACCGCCATAACTGAAGTAGGATGGTGGCTGTATAAAGTTAATTTTCATCTGTCGTTTGAATATGTTAATCACAGTTCGAGAAATCCGCACGTCTTAGAAACGTGAAGATGAGAGGCTCTGTCGAAGTCAATACACCATTGCTGTTTTCATACTGAAACCCTAAACAATTTTGTGTCATCTGGTATTATTAGATGCGTGTACCCAACAAGATTCTGATAATTTTGTACACATTCAGTAGGAAGCACGGAGAAAAGTAACTGGGCTGCCGTTTAGAATGTAGACGCAAAACCTCTATTTTTTTAGCAGTTTGTAAGCCTTGTATCCTTCCTACATTTGTTTACTTTGTTTTACACGCTACGCATGTACCAATGTTAAGTCTTTACATGGTTTGGCATGGCCAGGTGTCGAATCTACGACCTGTCGAACTCGAGGCATCAAAGCTACCACGAGACCACCGATATGTCCCGGTCCATATACTTGCGTTATAAAGGCGTACATTTAAGTACTTTCAAACTTTTTTCTTACCTGTTATCTTTCATTAACACTCTTATGTAAATAACCATGACTCGTATTTCAAAAATAAAGCTTCATTAACGATACAAACCTACGCAAATACAAAATTAAATTAATTCATTAGAGACTTTTAAGGTTTACATGGCGTGAAGATTACGGTTTATTTTCAATAGTTATTATACACAAGTTTATGTCATTGTCCGTTGCGAACATTTTACAGTCTGCTCAGTTTATTTGAATTATCATGATATTTAACTTCAAATATAGAAATCATAAATGTTGCTTTATAATGTTGACAATAAATACAAATCACGTAATAATGTATTAATTGTAATTGACAAGGGAGTTATCCATCATAATAACAGTTGTTTTTATAAAATAGCAATGTTTAGTAAAATTGTACTAGCAGTTGTTAATTAACACTGTAACAAACATAATATGTCCATTTCAATTTGGCTGTTTTTCTTAAAATCTAGAATTTCTTGTACATGTGTTAATGTAAAATGTAGAATTTCTTGTACATGTGTTAATGTAAAATGTAGAATTTCTTGTACATGTGTTTATGTAAAATATAGAATTTCTTGTACATGTGTTAATGTAAAATGTAGAATTTCTTGTACATGTGTTTATGTAAAATGTAGAATTTCTTGTACATGTGTTAATGTAAAATGTAGAATTTCTTGTACATGTGTTAATGAATGTATGTAATGTTTACTGCATTAATTTGTTACATTGTTCTATTCTGAATGTGAGGCGATCACCTCAGTCGGTTTTTGACTCAGTCTTTAGGTTTCTATGTTGTGTTTTGTAGACTGTTGTTTGTGGTTTGGTCGTTTTTGTTTTTGTCATGGTGTTGTCAGTTTGTCTTCGACTTGTTAGTATGAAATCCCTTTGGTATCTGCCAAGTCTATTTTAATTTGTTTATTATTAATATTCACATACCCTTGATAGGGTCTTTAGGAAATAAAATCTTGAAACTTGAAACGTGTGCATCATGAAATATGTGTCGAAAATATTTCCCACCGTCTTTACTTTGGTGCATTTATTGAAAATGAGAATCTGTGGTGGAGTATAACTGCTGTTTGCGGTCACCATCTACCTGTGAATTCTCCTACTACTACTACTTCCTCCAGTCATTTGCAAAACGTTGAACGATGCATCGTTCTACTGTCATGTGACAAAGGTTGATTTTCATGTAGAACTTCGCGTAAAATAGGTCATTCATTTGCATGTGTGCTCTAATCAAGGTCGCAACGATAGTTATGTGTACAATATTTGTTTGTTTGTTCCTTTAATTATTTGAGCGGCAACACATACATGACACGCAAAATTATGCACCATGTTGTTTTGTAAGTATCTTTCATTTGCTCAAACCCATCGAAACTTTTAACAATGTCAATGTAAAAAACCAAATCGCTATTACGTCATCATTGAAGTTATTTAAGATATTTTATAGCGACTTACTTATTCATCATTCCCGATTAAAAATGTACTACCAAGAGCCTCTGTTAAAACATGGAATTTAACATGAAAGTGTTCGGAGTAGTCTTTAGGAAATCCGAGGATAAGAGATAGGCGAAAGATACCAAAGAAATGATCAAACTCATCAATCGAAATCGAACTGACAATGCCACGGCAAAAAAAAAAAAAAAAATAAAAAAAACCCAACAGTATACAAAACACAACGTAGAAAACTAAAGACTGAACAA